AGTGGTTAAGGCATCTGACTATCTATGATCAATCGCCATCCACCACTAGGTCACAGTGGCTGAGTGGTTAAGGCGGCTGACCGTCTACGATCACTAGCCCTCCACCACTGGGTCACAGTGGCTGATCAGTGGTTAACGCAGCTGACCATCTACGATCACTAGTCCTCCACCACTAGGTCACAGTGGCTGAGTGGTTAAGGCGGCTGACCGTCTACGATCACTAGCCCTCCTCCTATGGGTCACAGTGGCTGATCAGTGGTTAAGGCAGCTGACCATCTACCATCACTAGCCCTCCACCACTAGGTCACAGTGGCTGAGTGGTTAAGGCGGCTGACCGTCTACGATCACTAGCCCTCCACCACTGGGTCACAGTGGCTGATCAGTGGTTAACGCAGCTGACCATCTACGATCACTAGTCCTCCACCACTAGGTCACAGTGGCTGAGTGGTTAAGGCGGCTGACCGTCTACGATCACTAGCCCTCCACCACTGGGTCACAGTGGCTGATCAGTGGTTAAGGCATCTGACCATCTACGATCAATAGCCCTCCACCACTAGGTCACAGTGGCAGAGTGGTTAAGGCAGCTGACCATCTACGATCACTAGCCCTCCGCCACTAGGTCACAGTGGCTGATCAGTGGATAAGGCATCTGACCATCTACGAGCACTAGCCCTCCACCACTAGGTCACAGTGTGCTGAGTGGTTAAGGCATCTGACTATCTATGATCAATCGCCATCCACCACTAGGTCACAGTGGCTGATCAGGGGTTAAGGCATCTGACCATCTATGATCACTAGGCCTCCACCACTAGGTCACAGTGGCTGAGTGGTTAAGGCGGCTGACCGTCTACGATCACTAGCCCTCCACCACTGGGTCACAGTGGCTGATCAGTGGTTAAGGCATCTGACCGTCAATGATCACTAGCCCTCCACCACTAGGTCCCAGTGTGCTGAGTGGTTAAGGCATCTGACTATCTATGATCAATCGCCATCCACCACTAGGTCACAGTGGCTGATCAGTGGTTAAGGCATCTGACCATCTATGATCACTAGACCTCCACCACTAGGTCACAGTGGCTAATCAGTGGTCAAGGCAGCTGACCGTCTACGATCACTAGCCCTCCACCACTAGGTCACAGTGTGCTGAGTGGTCAAGGCAGCTGACCGTCTATGATCACTAGCCGTCCACCACTAGGTCACAGTGTGCTGTGTGGTTAAGGCATCTGAGCGTCTATGATCACTAGCCCTCCACCACTAGGTCACAGTGTGCTGAGTGGTCAAGGCAGCTGACCGTCTATGATCACTAGCCGTCCACCACTAGGTCACAGTGTGCTGTGTGGTTAAGGCATCTGACTATCTATGATCACTAGCCCTCCACCACTAAGTCACAGTGGCTGAGTGGTTAAGGCATCTGACCGTCTACGATCACTAGCCCTCCACCTAGGGGTCACAGTGGCTGAGTGGTTAAGGTACCTGACCGTCTACGATCACTGGCCCTCCACCACTAGGTCACAGTGGCTGAGTGGTTAAGGCAGCTGACCATCTACGATCACTGGCCCTCCACCTAGGGGTTGTGGGTTGAAGCCTATGTCAGACAGTCACCTGAGCAACATCATTCTCTGAATCTAAATCTGTGTACAAAGAAAAATAGTATGATTTTCCTGCTGACAATCATCTCTATTTGTTTGATTGTTTGAGATTTGTCACTGTTGACAGAAGTATTTTTTTTACACCTAACAGGACTTCTCATTCAACCAACCTCATATTTGTGAGCGTTTAGGGATCCTATTATGTAAGTTTTAAATTATCTAGCATACACAAATGCATTTCAATGATGCTCTGTAATTTGGAAATTCATCAATCAGTAATTTTATCCATTTGATAAAGTGTGGGAATTTAATTTCCTGAACTTTAATCTGAAGTTTAAACTTCAGTTTTAAATAAATACAAAAGGTTTTAACATCATTTCGGTATAAAGTTACATAAAGGCATCAAGGAACACAGCAGTCTATAGCTACCATATACTCTACAGTTTTACTTGTTTACCTGACGTATACTGCCACAGAATGATATCACACATACAGCTACAGAATTTTCTTTCAACAAAAACTTTAATTAAATTAAAAACTATCTTTGAAATATCAACCTAGAACCAACGTTTAGGATGGGATAAAGGCCAGAGGTGTACAATTACACCGACTTGTACGTACTTAGCCAGACAGATTATCACGCCATGAACTGATACACAAAAAGCGACATGTATGTCATACTTATAAATGCACTTTGAATGGCCGTGGTACAGATGGAATTGACAGTTCATAATAGAACTTTCAAATGACTGTTTCTTTAATTTTGAATACTTCCCCGGTACTATTATGTTAACATTAATGTGTGTTTCCAGTTATGGCTGCCATGGTAACCAGTTAATATATGCATAACTTAATGAAATTTGAATATTCAGTCAATTTAGACAGGTTTTCGCCTAGTATTACTCTTAGCTACCATAGAGCGAAACTTAAACAAACTTTTTATTTCTCTTTAAGATGTACTTCAGGTGCCTACACATCGACCTTTGATATTAAGTTTGTTCAAGCATGCGCTCTATAGTTTCCAGGAGAAAAAATGTGGAAAATAATCAGACAATATTGGCTGAATATTCAAATTCTTCTAATTTATGCAAATTTGAACTTGTTTTCATGGCAACAATAATTAGGAATACATGTACAAATAAATATTTTCATGATGGTATTTGGGAACCAGTCAAAATTAGAGAAGAAACAGTTGTTTAAATGCTCATTTAAAGGTTTTGAATTTTGATGCATTTGGGGGCCAAAACACGCCCAAACCATATAAAGTCCTTTAAATTAACGTTAAGTAACATATATATGGGCTAAATCAAGAAACGTGACTAACAAAAAGAGAAGTACAAACCACTGAGATCAGACATTTATATACAAGACTAGATTTAGAGATCTGACCAACGAGATCAGACAATTATATACAAGACTAGGTTTAGAGATCTGACCAACAAGATCAGACAATTATATACAAGACTAGATTTAATGATCTGACCAACGAGATCAGACAATTATATAAGACTAGATTTAGAGATCTGACCAACGAGATCAGACAATTATATAAGACTAGATTTAATGATCTGACCAACGAGATCAAACAATTATACAAGACTAGATTTAGAGATCTGACCAACGAGATCAGACAATTATATACAAGACTAGATTTAGAGATCAGAGGCACATCACTCACCTTTGAACTTCAGGTGAGGGTCATAGTGAGCTAACCACATAGCACTGTACACCTGTGGGTGATGCAGGTATACTTCAAGTTTTAAAAGGTTGTCGTGTGATGGTTTAGAAGTTATGGCCCAGACAAGATTAAAAGAAAAATATGCTGAACTAGTATTAATACAATTTTTCTCCTTGCATGCAAAGGTGAGATACATGTTTTTTGTAATATATTAATTGTAATGGAATTACAAGTGTACTGTACATAGATATGAAATCTGCTAAAAAAATGCTGAAATGTATTTCAATTTATGAAGCTGAATTGTCTATGAAATATATTATAGTCATGTTGACAATTGTTATACATCAATTAGTCCTCAATCATCAGGAACTGATATGACACACGTTTCCATAGAAACAAATGGATTTCCGACATCAATTCACCTCTACTAATGATGGGGTAGAAACAGAACTCCAGTCTTTTTACCTGTTGTCCCAAAACAGGAAGTGGTGTGCTCCATGATAGAACACACTTAGGTACTTATGTCCACAGCAGCAGAAAGCACTGATCTAGATGTTACCTCAATCGTATTAGCCACGGTGTGTTCAATTAGTCTTCAGTGTATATACTGTATGAACATCACCTGTGGTCTTCATCAGCAGCCTTCAGCTATAGGATTTTTAGAATTGATTTGTAACACTATAGCCAGTTCTGAAGCCAAACGACCGTGTCCAAAATCCATACAGCCAGCAAATGACTTATTCAATGTAGTTAACATCATTGTTATAACTACCAACATACAATTCCCCTGCGAAATGATTATGAATAATTCATGAAAATTCATGAACAGTTCAAGAAATATTCATGAATAATATTCATGGATGTTCTTGATTTGTTCAAGAATATTTTCATGAAATTCATGAACTTAAAACTTTGGATCAAGTGTCGTTGAACAACATTGTTTCCATATCTAGTCTTAAAACTCATTTTCACAACACCCTATGACTTCTTTATATGAATGAAAACACTAACAATAATAATTTGAGGTTCTTATTTACCGCTTTATCACAAACTAGTTCGTAGGTCGTCTCAAAGTGGTTCACAAAGTATTATCCGTGGTTAAAGGGCCTTTGCAACCAGCCAATATCTTTCTCAACTCCCTGGGGAGCATATGGCCGATGCTGCCATTTCCACGCTCACGGCTAGTATTCTAAAATTTTAGCACTGCCCAACTACGTACTCATTTACAGATGAGTAGACTGGAACAGGCGGAGTAAAGTATCTTGCTCAAAGATACAACACAGTGCCGTGCCGTGACCCGAACCCGCAACCCTTCAGTCACGAGCCAGCTGGTGTCCTACTAGACTACTGTGCCTCCTACACTACACTGATCCACAAATACAGACAAGGTATCTCTGGACACCTAATCCTCCCAGACAACAGTCGTGAGATAACATGGGTTGATATTAAAGTACCAATGACCATGACAATGACCTTTGACCTTCAGACTTGCAAAGAAATATCCCCATGCAAGAACTTTCCATCATGATGTAGTGTATGTAAATTTGAGTGTTATCAATCAATAGAAACTTGAACTATTAAGCAGGAACCTTGTAGATGACGAATCTAGCTAACAAATGACCTTGACCAAAACTGACCTTGTAGGTGACGAACCTAGCTAACAAATGACCTTGACTAAAACTGACCTTGTAGGTGACGAACCTAGCTAACAAATGACCTTGACTAAAACTGACCTTGTAGGAGGCTGACTTGAGATTCACACTTCTGCCTTTGCTGGTAAGTGTACATTTCATCCTCACAAACATGCTATGTTCTTCAGCTTGCTGTTCCATTCCCTTGTGGGACTTCGCTGACATCATGTCTGCAATCTCATCGTGGTCACATGGGTGGGTGAAGTCATACAGACTCTGACCAATCATGTCAATCTACAAGATAAATGAACCAGTCAAGTCATCTACAGTTTGTAAAGCTTTCTGACGAGATTTGTCCTGCTAAAGCATCATTAAGGAACAAAAAATTGCCTTGTAGATAGTTAAGCATCTTTGTTTTGCACATTATTTATATAAAACAGTATCACATACAAAATGACTTTGATTATGATAAACAAATTATTATTTGAAATGGTTGACATCAAATTAATTCTCCAAGTTTCAAATACAGTGAACTTTGCCTTCACAGGACACCCTCGGAACCACAAAATTTGGCCAATGTTCATAGAGTTCCAGATTGTTGAGTCTACTTGTAATACATTGTCATGATTGGAACCTAATAATTGAGACAGTTTACTAACAAATATCTGGACAAGACAGAGTCCAGTTTAGAAAGATAATGGAGTTAATTAACTCATTCACCCCTAAAATTTCATATTGAACTATTCCAACCTTTGAATTGCAGGAGTTCAAATGTGTCTTCAGAGGTGAATGAGTTATTGCTAATACTAGTAAATATTTATGTGTGTGAACCTCCTGTTTTTAAATATTGACATAATTATAAGGGTGAGGACTATTGATTCCTGATTTGGGGCTATAAGCAACTGTTGCCATTTTTTTTTTATTATGCTTGGTAATAGACATTTATACATATTTATGCAATTCTAAGAATTCTGCGCCAATCTAAGGATTTTTTCTTTCGTACCTGGGGTATGCCAAGGTACTTGGCCACGCTCTCGGACACGTAGGCTATGTCACAGTTGTCTGAAATAATGACTACAAAGCCATCTAAAGCCTTCCCGTAGAGGTTGTCAACATCCTCAAGGCTCTCCTTGGATTCCAAATCTGCAAAAAGGAAAATGGACTATCAACATTTTGTAACTCGCCCCTTAACATGGTATTCATTATTACCCAGTAATTATATATATCAGCATTATGTTCATAACAACTTTTTTCAATTTCAAGAATTGCTTTAACTTTCATCAATATTGTCCAATTAGTACTGGTAGGTTGTATTCTGACATGGAAGAGGTAGGGTAGATATGTCAATGGCATCTACTTAGTCCACTTCGTAGCCCCATTTCAAAGCGAGAAATCTGAGGTTCAAAATCCTCAGGATAAAAAATTTAGGTATAATTTTCTTATCATTAATTAACAATAAGCTCATGAAAGAGGTTTATTAATTCACCATGTTTGTTTTTCTAATTTGGTAGTTTGTGGCTTAAACAAAGGGTCCGAAAGACACAGACAAAAGTCTCCAAATTGTATTGACACATTTCTGGCGACTCCTAAATACATACTATGGTAATTAGTATGTATATTTGGAGTAATTATTGAAAGTTGCACATAATACACACCTATCTCTAATACACTGTGCTACAAAAAAGTTGTTCCATAGAGGACAAATACAAATACCATTATCACCTGGTCTTTGAATATGATGTTTGTATGCATTGTCAAGATTCTATTATCGATCTAGAAAAATTAATATATCATGAATTTCTCATAAACATGAAAAAAATTATCAGATGCAGACAACTGATTATTTTTACCCTAGACAGCTCTCAGATAAACAAAAAATTAAGTGATTAATATTACATGACTTTGTATATAATATCCAGCACCAATGGGAATCAAAATGGCGCCTGCCAGCACGAGGGAGTTAACCTACTCTTACACTTTTAGTATTCACTGTCAACTAGAACAGGTATATTATACAATTGTCATAACTGATGACACAGAATCTATACAGGACGTTCTTAATCATTTATTTTCCCCAACAGAATTTCGGAAAATATTCTTGACCTTGAACATCCATTTTGTCCATGATTTGGCGTATCTTGAGGTGGCTAATAGCCACTCTCATCACTGATGCTTTGTCCAGTTGGTTGAGAAACGGTGGAAGGGGCAGCTCTTTGGCCAGCTCCGAAAACACCTCCGTCTCCTTCCCACGCCGACACCGAGCAGCATCGCGGGACTTCTCCTTTCTTTTCTCTGAATTCCTGAGAATTATACAAATACCAATGCATGGAGACAAGGATGTGGTATATACATATATATGATTATTAAAACATACTACATACAGAGTGTATTTTTTTGTTTAATCTTAAGTGAAAATCGTGGGTATAATGCATATGGTTAAATCATAAAATGAAAATGTGTGTGCATTTACAATTGTATCATTTTGATACATTTTTGAAAACCCTTCAACAGTTTTTGCCAGCTATTTTTGGAAGAAGAAGAAGAAGAAGAAGAAGAAGAAGTAGAAGTAGAAGAAGAATGTATAGCAATAAATAAACACATAAATTTTCAGTGTTTTTGTTTAGTCAATTTCAAATTTCTATTATAAATGTACTTAAAATGCCTCCTTCATGGAAGGTAATAATTACTTTGAATGTTGCACATAATTGCCACATATAATGACTGCAAACTTGTTTGGACATGCTTTTTAATCCGATTGGAAAAACAAAGACTAAAATTGAGAAAATGCAGGGTCATTTTTCATTTGGGAATGGGTCCCTAGCTGTACCGGACCGTTAGCACCTGGCAAATATGGAGTAGATGATCGAGAGACAAGTTCTTGCAAAGGAAAACATAAAATATAAAATATAAAACTAAATAACTAAACTGAAGGCAATTATATAAACATATAAGAAAGGACACAAAAAGTTCCTTAGTAATTTTCTTGTCTTTTCATCTCTTTTCAGATTCATAAAAAGAACTGTTGAAGTATATACATGTATGTATGTACAAAGACGCACAGATTACACCTTCCTGTTGTATTGGTAAAAGATTGGCAATTAACATCTAGTGAAAGACCATAGATTTTAACACCAGTGTATGAAAGAAGAAATAGACATTTGCATCAGGGGAAGTATTAAGGGACGGGCAAGATTTCATACTAGGAAATATGTCTAAAAATAGAATGGACTGAAAAAGTGAAAGGAAGACATATTCATATTCAAACCTTTGGTGGCTGCAGGGTTAAAAAAAATTGTCACATCCAATACATTATCATCATTTTATTTGGAGTTACCGGGTAAGAAAACTTCCGTATCTTTTTTTTTCTGGCTTGCTATCAATTTATAAAACAATCTTGCTTCTTCTATCTTTATTCAGTGTGAAACTGATCCCAGGTGTTTAAGTTAGCCAATCCTGGAGAAATAAAAGGGTTTTGCCCATTTACCGAGTACAGTTGTATAAATCAAATATTATTGAGAGAAATATTGTCAACATAGAGCTATAACAGGCACACCTTTGCCTGTCAACATAGAGCTATAACAGGCACACCTTTGCTTGTCAACATAGAGCTATAACAGGCAAACCTTTGCTTGTCAACATAGAGCTATAACAGGCACATCTTTGGGAAATCAATGCTGTTTTGAAAGCTATCTAGTTAATACGAGTAATAAGGTGATCGTAACTGTTTCAATTTATTCTTTCAAGTGAGTATTTGGACTTTATTAATGCAGTGATTATTTTAAACAATCAACTATGTAAACATGTACACAAAAAGCTTCGAAGGTGAACTCACGCAAGCAAGCTTCAAAGTAAACAATTAAGATTGTATGATTCTTGGCCCAAAGACTCGGTAAACAAGCTAGAGCACGAAGCACTGGCTTAATTAATTTATGGATGGAACTGTTTTGCTACCAAAGTAGGTCTGAGCCAAATATTTATTGAGCTGGTTTATCATTAGGGACTAATTAGGGACTATATCATTAGGGACTTATTAGGGACTTCATCATTAGGGACTTCATCGTTAGGGACTTATTAGGGACTTCATCATTAGGGACTTCACCATTAGGGACTTCGTCATTAGGGACTTCATCATTAGGGACTTATTAGGGACTATATCATTAGGGACTTATTAGGGACTTCATCATTAGGGACTTTATCATTAGGGAAATGTGTACATGTATGATAATCTGGTCACTGTGACTCATTTTTGTTCTCTTGACCTACTTTTTGTGACCTCCAACTTATTTTACGTATCATGATCAATTATTTTCAGGATTATGTGACGATTCACACAAAATAATATAATCAATTTTTACATTTAAACATGTAACACGATAGAAACTAATGGATAAGTTGTCTAGGTAAGATCCTGTCTAGAGAATTAGAGACAGACAGAAGATATAGTGCCCCACCCACCCCCCCCAACAACCCAACACACAATATTGTGCATTGCTCAAAATAAGATGATAATTATCACCAAAAGTGAAACTCCTAATTCAGATACAAAGGTTCTGAACAGTTGAATAAGAAAACTTGACTTAATGTGTAAACTTTAGATAAGTTAATGCATCACAGTAGGTCAAATAAACCCATGGCCAGGAACTTTAATTAAAATCCAGACAACTCACATCTAACAAACTAATTCACAGCTCAGTTGATAAAGCTTTCTCCTTCTGATACGCAATGAGTAGAAATTAATACTTTTCTACTTTCTACTTTCTACTTTCTTTTTGATTACCAGATCATGTATTAACACCCAGTAGTGTTTCTCTTGAGAAACATATGCCTTGCAGACTTACATCAGAACTTTGTGTCTGAATATAGAATTTAGTGACACAAATATCATTCATGTAGATTACAAAAAAAGAACTTCTGCAGGAAATTGCCACTTCTATTAAAACGGAAAGCAACCTAATCCAACAGGCTAAGCTGATGAGAGACTTACTTGTAAGGCATGACTCCGTCAAGTGTGTCGATATCACAAGATTGCCTCCGATATTCCCATGTATGAGGTTAATTTTAAAACTGGGTTCCAGAAAAGTGCCACCAATGTAGATATATATTTAATTAACAAAGTCTCCACAATATATAAAAAGAAATTACGTACAAGTTAAAACTAGAGTGTAAAATAATACCAATGTTTATATAATATATTTTACGATGCTAAATTTGTAACACTGGCTGAAAAATTATGTCTCTTTATCAAATATTTTTTTTTTGACCTTTAAAGACAGTAAAATATGACTTCAAAGTAAATATATCCAGTAGAGTTTCCAAGATTCACATTTAGGTGATCAGTAGGCCTGTTAGTCAATATAAACGTTGTTATAGAAATAAAGTATTGACTCGTTCACTTATTTTTACACTGTCCTCCTTAAGGTCAGCACAACTTGAATAAACTGCTTCAGGTCAATCTCCGTTAATATTAAATCCCATGAACAATGTTAGTCCCCTGTGACTGGTACGAAATATTTGTAACTTTCTCTAACCATCAGATGAAACGAGAGGACTAACAGAAACTTGATGCAGCAGGCCGTCCTGTACAGATAAATGGTTGGTGATAACACACATGTAATTTGTCTGAAGCAGCAATCCTAATACAGATGGCTATATAGCTAGGTGTGATGTCAGTATACACATTCAATATTCAATCATGATCAGAAATTAACGCCAATCTTGAAATAAATCCCAGTGTATGTTGATTTCAAATATTCCTGAATCACATTACAGAAATTATTTCATTTCCTGTTTTCTGTAATTGGATTGATCTAATTTGAAAGAACGAAAGAACGCAGCTAATAAACGGTTCTGTTAGCGAAAAATATCCATACACAGCTCATTAGTTGCCGAGTCTATAGATCACTGTACTTAATATAAACAACAGTATGTTATTATCTAGTTTTAACAAAAGGTCTGAAGTGGAACAATACACAAACCAGTGCACGGTATTTAAACAGTAAAATAGGCGGCAAATTCTTCCTTCGAAAGAAAACAAATTGAATGAGATCAACAGTTACAGAAAAGGTTCCACCTCAGTGAAAATCCGACACTTTATGTAGAGCCTTAGAGACACCTCGTTCAGTGATGTCGACAACAGTTATAGTGAAGTTAATAAAGATTAATTTATTGCTACTTGTGATACTGACGCGGAAATTTTTCATTAACACATTTAGTTCACAGTTAGAAACTGGGGCACATCACAGACAGCTTCAGTGTGAAAATGTTCCTAGATACATGTGTATGTCTCCTAGCAAGTTTCTCTACATTCAAACACCTCCAAAAGAAAACTACTGAGAAATTCTGGAAGGATGAATTTTCACAAACAGATAGTAAGTGTTCTCAAATATTGACCAGCTTTGATCTCCATCTTGACAAAATAACCAGAATGTGACATATAGATGTTCATTTGTATTGCACACAGCTACACTGATGTATGTAATGTTGCTCCTTCGGTGTGGTCTATTTGGTGAAGCTGCCTGTGACTTACCAATTATATGTTTCATGTAACCACTGACACATACGGCACACTATCTTAGCCTCATATCAAATTACCACCATTGGAGCTGCAGAATAATAAAAAAAAATGCTATTTTGAAGACAACAATGGGCTTACAGTAATCCAAGTACCTTCATGTATCTCTCTATTATACAGTGTGACTGTAAGCACTGTACATGTATGTACTCTTAATTTAAAATGCCTGTCTAATTAACTCCTCTTTTTCGTCATACACTGGAATTTGTAACTCATTAGTCTTTCTATTACAAGTGAGACACTGGAACTCATAACTCAACAGGCCTATACTAGTGTGAGACAATGGAACTCATAACTCAACAGGTCTATACTAGTGTGAGACATTGGAACTCATAACTCAACAGGTCTATACTAGTGTGAGACACTGGAACTCATAACTCAACAGGTCTATACTAATGTGAGACACAGGTTCTCATAACTCAACAGGTCTACTATAGTGTGAGACACTGGAACTCATAACTCAACAGATCTACTTTAGTGTGAGATGCTGGAACTCATATTTCAACAGATCTACTTTAGTGTGAGATGCTGGAACTCATATTTTAACAGATCTACTTTAGTGTGAGACACTGGAACTCATAACTCAACAGGTCTATTTTAGTGTGAGACCCTGGTTACTCATAACTCAACAGGTCTACTTTAGTGTGAGACTCTGGTACTGATCATAACTCAACAGGTCTACTTTAGTGTGAGACACCGGTACCCTTAATTCAACAGGTCTACTTTAGTGTGAGACCCTGGTACTAATCATAACTCAACAGGTCTGTTTTAGTGTGAGACCCTGGTACTAATCATAACTCAACATGTCTATTTTAGTGTGAGACCCTGGTACTAATCATAACTCAACAGGTTTATTTTAGTGTGAGACACTGGTACTAATCATAACTCAACTGGTCTACTTTAGTGTGAGACAGTGGTTCTCATAACTCAACAGGTCTATTTAGTGTGAGACACAGGTACTAATCATAACTGAACAGGTCTACTTTAGTGTGAGACCCTGGTACTAATCATAACTCAACAGGTCTATTTTAGTGTGAGACCCTGGTACTAATCATAACTCAACAGGTCTATTTTAGTGTGAGACCCTGGTACTTATCATAACTCAACAGGTCTATTTTAGTGTGAGACAGTGGTTCTCATAACTCAACAGGTCTACTTTAGTGTGAGACAGTGGTTCTCATAACTCAACAGGTCTACTTTAGTGTGAGACAGAGGTACTAATCATAACTCAACAGGTCTACTTTAGTGTGAGACAGTGGTTCTCATAACTCAACAGGTCTACTTTAGTGTGAGACACTGGAACTCATAACTCTACAGGTCTACTTTAGTGTGAGACACTGGAACTCAAAACTCCACAGGTCTACTTTAGTGTTAGACACTGGTTCTCATAACTCAGCAGGTCTATACTTTAGTGAGATACACTGGTACCCTTTATTCAACAGGTCTACTTTAGTGTGAGACACTGGAACTCATAACTCCACAGGTCTACTTTAGCGTGAGACACTGGTTCTCATAACTCAGCAGGCCTATACTTTAGTGTGATACACTGGTACCCTTTATTCAACAGGTCTACTTTAGTGTGAGACACTGGAACTCATAACTCCACAGGTCTACTTTAGTGTGAGACACTGGTTCTCATAACTCAGCAGGTCTATACTTTAGTGTGATACACTGGTACCCTTTATTCAACAGGTCTACTTTAGTGTAAGACACTGGTTTTCATAACTCAACAGGTCTATACTTTAGTGTGAGACACTGGTACCCTTAATTCAACTGGTCTACTTTAGTGTGAGACACCGGTACCCTTAATTCAACTGGTCTACTTTAGTGTTAAACACCGGTACCCTTAATTCAACTGGTCTACTTTAGTGTGAGACACAGGTACCCTTAATTCAACTGGTCTAATTTAGTGTGAGACACCGGTACCCTTAATTCAACTGGTTTACTTTAGTGTGAGACACTGGTACCCATAATTCAACTGGTCTACTTTAGTGTGAGACACCGGTACCCTTAATTCAACTGGTCTACTTTAGTGTTAGACATTTGTACAAAATGTACTCTTAACTCAACACGTCTACTATAGTGTGAGACACTGGTTCTAATCATAACTCAACAGGTCTATTTTAGTGTGAGACACTTAGGTACCCTTAATTGTTATAAACCTCACAACAGACAGGACTGTTTAATGTTACAAACCTCACAACAGACAGAGACTGTTTAATGTTATAAACCTCACAACAGACAGGACTGTTCAATGTTATAAACACAACAGACAGGACTGTTTAATGTTACAAACCTCACAACAGACAGGACTGTTCAATGTTATAAACACAACAGACAGAGACCGTTTAATGTTATAAACACAACAGACAGAGACTGTTTAATGTTATAAACCTCACAACAGACAGGACTGTTGTGAGGTTTATAACAATTAAGGGTACCTAAGTGTCTCACACTAAAATAGACCTGTTGAGTTATGAGTTCCAGTGTCTCACACTAAAGTAGACCTGTTGAGTTATGAGACCCTGTGTTTCACATTAGTATAGACCTGTTGAGTTATGAGGTCTGTTGTGTTTATATCATTAAACAGTCCTGGCTGTTGTGAGGTTTGTAACATTAAGCAGTCCTGTCTGTTGTGGGGTTTGTAACATTAAACATTCTCTGTCTGTTGTGTTTTTAACATTAAACAGTCCTCTCTGTTGTGAGGTTTATAACATAAAACAGTCCTGTCTGATGTGAGGTTTATAACAATTAACAGTCTCTGTCTGTTGTTTGTATAACATTGATCAGTCCTGTCGGTTGTGTTTATAACATTGCACAGTCCTGTCTGTTGGGAGGTTTGTAACATTAAAAAGACCTATCTGTTGTGAGGTTTATACCATTAAACAGTCTCTGTCTGTTTAATGTTACAAACACAACATACAGGACTGTTTAATATTACAAACCTCACACCCGACAGCACTGTTCAATGTTATAAACGCAACAGACAGGACTGTTCAATGTTATAAACACAACAGACAGAGACTGTTTAATGTTACAAACACAACAGACAGGACTGTTTAATGTTATAAACACAACAGACAGAGACTGTTTAATGTTATAAACACAACAGGACTGTTTAATGTTATAAACCTCACAACAGACAGAGACTGTTTAATGTTATAAACACAACAGACAGGACTGTTTTATGTTATAAACCTCACAATAGACAGAGACTGTTTAATATTATAAACTTCACAACTGACAGAGACTTTTTTATGTTCTAGAATTGAATATGATAAACCTAGATTTGTTCAAACATTATATAGGACTACACAGAATGAGGGTTCTTTGCATTGACAGTCAAGATCCCACTAGACCAATGTGACCATCAACATTTCTAGATCTCACAGCAGCCTTAAAGCTTGGGCTGTCAAATGTTGGAGATCTCAATGTTCAGATAACCTAGCTATCTATATACGTTTTTCAATGGTTCTTGATCTCACAGCTGGCTGAATCAGACTGATACACCATAGGACTCTTTATATAAATAACTCACCACTGACTGGGGTTTTCAAATTTCCTGGCTTTCAGTCTGACTGGTTAACTTACAATGTTTATGTTACATTATTGTCTTTATACTTTCATAACTCGGTCATTATTTTTGAAAAAGAAAAAAAGAAAATTTCACAACAGGAATTGGTGACTTAACACTGCGCATGCTATTGCAACATAGTGTTATAAGGACCTGCAGGTTGATATGACTGTTTACCTTCAATAACAATTTCAAGGTCAGTAAACAACAACTCAGTCATGCGTATACAATACTGTCGTAAACAGTCTACAAGTACATTTAAAGGTCTGGCCTTTAATTCAATTCATATTTGATAAACAAACCTGAACATTTTCTTTGTGGGGGATATTTAAAATTTCCTGTTTACATATAAGCAAGTATGATCGGACTATATGGAAATTTTCGTTACAAAAAAAACAACCAAGAATTAATTCACAGAAATTCATCTCTGCAAAGAAAACGTAAGAACAAGAATTCCACAGGAGTGGATGTGTCGCCTGGTCAGCGCTTTTAGTAAGAAAAGCTTGAGTTATCACGTAAAAACAGATATATGCCAAAACATGGAAAGGTGAAACTCGACAGAAAAACCTGTAATATATATGTTTAACATTACTGTTTTAACATAACAGTGTAGTAGTATACACATAACAGTGTAGTAGTAGACACATAACAGTTGAGTAGAAGTAGTAGACACATAATTGTGTAGTAGTAGACACATAACAGTGTAGTAGTGGACACATAACAGTGTAGGAGTAGACACATAACTGTTTAGTAGTAGACACCTAATTGTATAGTAGTGTAGTAGTAAACACTTAGTTGTGTAGTGGTAGACACATTAAAGTGTAGTAGTAGACACCTAATTGTATAGTAGTGTAGTAGTAAACACTTAGTTGTGTAGTGGTAGACACAGAACAGTGAAGTGGTAGACCCATTACAGAGTAGTAGTAGACACATATTTGTGT